ATGCAAAACCCACATATTGAGGCCCTAGGGGCCTCAGGGATACACTGTGATCTCACAGTCGTTGCTGATGGTAAGTCATCCCCAAATACTCACACTGTATTAACTTCCATCATTTTCCTGGTCTCCAACTGGTATGCCAGTCAAGACTGCATTACAGAAGTTAGGTGCTAGTTGTTCATTTTCTGGCTGATCACAGTGTTTGATGTCTCCTCTTTGTAGCCATCCCTCCTCTGCTCACCTTAGTAGTTCTTCCTTTCAACAGATATGAGATTGCTATACTGCTGTATTGATTTCTTTCCACTCTCCATTGCATGGATGAGTTGGCCATTTTGAACTTCAGTTTTCTCCCATTTTCTTCCTGGATTCTGGCCAAAGACCCACAGAAAACCCCAACGCAGATTGACTTAGAGAGACGAATAAAAATGCTATCTTCTCATTCCCATCTCATTCCCCTATTTCCCCCAGACAACCACACACAAATAATATTTGGAGAGTTTTCAGAAGGAATGCCAAGAAGACAGGAACCACAGAGATTTGGACATGAGGCCCACTTTTACACCTTTGTTCTCTCCCAACTGAATGAATCAAAGTTGGATAAACTGTGTCCTGCTGATGACAGGCTTTGAGGACCCTACCATGAGAGAAAGTAACGGAGATCATTAAAACTTTGTCCCTCACCCCCAAAGACACCTGCTGTATGCTGTAAATGAAAGGAGTAAATGCCTAGAAATACAATAGAAATTCAGTTTTCCCCAAAAATGCAGCTGAAGTTGACTACTGAACGGGAAACTTGAAACCAGCTGCAGCAAAGTTGGTCTTACTGAGAGCTACCTGCTGTCTTGGTTTTTCTGCACAAGGTGAGGAAAGGAGATGAGAGGCAGATAGACAGCCAAGGTGATGATGCAGAAAAAGAGAGCAACCAAAGGGGAGCAGAAAAGAGGTGAAGGGCCTTGATGGGCAGCCATATGAGGAGTGGCTGAGGTCACTTGGTCTGTTCAAGCTGGAGGAGACTGAAGGGAGACCTCATTGCAGTTACAGCTTCCTTGTGAGGGGAAGAGGAGGGGCAGACACTGATCTCTGCTCTGCTGTCACCAGTGAAAGGGCCCAAAGGAATGGAAGGAAGCTGTATTTAGGAGGTTTAGGTCAGATATTAAGAAAAGGTTCTTTTTTTTTACTTTAAGAATAATGTTTGGAGAATGCTCTCAGGTACATGGTGTGACTCTTGAGGATCCAGGAGTTGGACTCAGTGATCCTGGATGTGCCCCTTCCTACTCAGTTTATTCTCTGATTCTGGAAAAAATAAGCTCTCAAAAAGAGTATTTACACTCTTGAACCTGGGAAGAGGTTTATAGAAGTGTATAAATCTAGATCACATACAGGGAGCCAAGTGTCCCTTTATTTGATTTGATAATTCCTAACAGAGATATGGCATTGCCTGCTTCAGGTCACATATAACATACTAGGTCTGTAAATGTTTATATCCCAAGTCACAGGCCAGAAATCAGTACCAATAGACTTAAAGAAGGGCTTATAAATTACCAGTAGAGGTAATTGGTTGGAAAAATATTGAAAACTCCACAAAGAACAAAGCAGAGAAATAAATCTGGGAACGAATTAGAAGATAAAATCCTGATTAATTTAATCAGGTTTCTGGGTATTGTAGGGACTCATGCTCTCTGATTGTGATAATTTTAGCTCACTTTTTTTCATTTTCTTCAGGATAAAAGGAATTTGCCAGAAAAAAAAAATAACCCAACTCCTTGAAACTTTCACCTGACACAGGCTGTTGGTATTCTGCTGAACTGAAGAATGGTCTGTAACACCATTGACCTATTTTCATAAGCAATGGAATATCTAGTTAAAGCTAACTCTATCCAGGACAACCACATGTTTTATAAGCAGCATTCACATTACACTGTGATGCACAAAATGTATGTCTGAAAAAGTTTAAAGCATTTTGGTATATGTTTCCTTTGCTTATAGGCACACACAACTTGTTTTTGACAATCATTTCTAATATAAAGAGATCGTAATTTCTCATTTAAATAAAGATATGCTTTACTAAAAATGCACAAGGTTATAAACAGGCAAACAAGTCTTGTAGTATCATGTAATGTAAAAATAGAGCTTTGAACAGGGATTACAAAGTTAATATGTTGGACATAAACTGGTACCTCACATCAGAGGATCTCATATTCTCTTACTGATTCTGTGTCACAGAACCACAAAGAAATTTATTGTGAGCTTCCTTTTGTAGACATACATATAATTCACCTCTGATAAACCTGGCCAGTCACAGTGAGAGAGCCAGAAGGAAATCTAAGACTTGATTTCAAGATGTCTGCTAGGACCAAGAGGTAACTTTCCCTTTCACTCTTGCTAAGGGGACATTAATTTGTCTCTTCACAGATTGGGAAAGTTGAAGGGAATGTTCCTGAAAAAGCACTCGAGTCTTTTACATTCCTGAGTTACTCACTCTTTCTAACTTAACTGTTATTTTTCATGCTGAGATACACACAGATTCAAAGAATTTATTGCAGGGAGCTCTCTGTACTCAAGCATGGCACTTACAGGTATCTTTTCATATTATGATGGCATGAGAGATACGTTATCTTCTGACAAGCCCATGTAGGGGATTGGGCAGGACATAAGGTTATCCCTTTCCTAAGTTATCCGACATCTGGTTTTTCCCTTTTACAGTGTTTTGACAAGAGTTAATTGCCAGCTCCATTCAAGTGAGTGGATGGTTTTAAAGGCTGCACTGCAAGAAGTCATGTGCTGTTTCTTATAGAACCAGAGTACCCTATGCCATTTCCAAACGGATATCCCTGCTTGATTTTGCCGTCACTATTGGTAAATGTATACATTTAGCTTCACCTGACCCGGCAGAGCTTCATCTGTCATGCCAGAGAGTAAGGATGGCACATGGAATGTAAAAGTCATTGAAGGAAGGGAATTGGTTAGTGTATTAGAGTGAGCGTTAAGTAATCAAAATATAAACCCTTAGGAAAAAACAAACACACTGGAGTAATTTTAAATGGGCAGATTACTTCTGGCAGTTTTGCTTCTTGGTTCTATATTCTTATCAACATTTTAAACCATTCAATTTCTAATATCCACAGAACTCACAAATAAGACAGGAGACCCAATACTTTATTGATGCTTACAGCCAGAAAAATTAAGAAGCTCTGAGTTAAAGGGTCAGGCTGGCCATCCTTCAAGCGATCATTCTTTTAAATCCCTGTGCTCCAGCAATTTGCTCTGAGACTTGCAACTTATCTGATTCTCACTTCTGAGAGCTAAATTCTCTGAAAGAAGTAGGTAATCTCCACTGACTATGATTTTATGACAGAACTTTCATTAGCAGGTGATCCTTCTACTGAAGCCAAATGAAGTAATTATTCTATTTTGCAGTATTGTTGACAACTGAATTTTTGTCATACTAAGCAACACAACACAGGAGATTGGATACTCAAAGGAAGCTATAATTCTCCTGGGGGGAAAAATTAAAAAATGATATCTGGTCACTTTATACACACCAGGCCTCCAAGTAAATGCTGAAGTGCAAAAAAATAACACATTCAAAAAGAATATTTATGTGTCCCTTTCTTACTACATGTGCAGTATTTTTCTCCTATGTCACAAAAACTGTAACCACAATTTACAAGTATATGCACAATCAAATTGCTATTGATTTAGCAATGCCTTTCTTTGATGTCCCTTGCCTTAACCTCATTTATAAAGCTGTTTTGCATTATTTCAAACTGTCAATGATTTGTGACTCATGAATATTCAAATCTAATTTGCACTTACCTTTTTTGCATGCATGCTTACTTGTAATTTGTCTCATTTGCCCTTTGTTTTGTGTTTATTTTCAGGTTATTTAGTGAAGTAAACTCTGCTTTTAAAGTAATAGCATCAAGTTAAACACAAGTTGTGCAATTCTCACCTTACTAGAGTCTTATATCACTGCAACTCCATTAACTTCCCTGGAGTTTCTCCTGCTTAAGTAAAGAGAAAGAGGTCCATCAGCTATTTCTGACTGTTTTTTCTTTGTCTGTGTGTTCACATCAACACCATTTAGCATGTTTCACTGGACTTGCAATGACTTTATTTAGTATTTTATTCAGAAAGAAATACCAAGATTAACTGTCTCATTCTAACATTTCAGATTTTAGAACCATTCAGATCTCCAAAACTGAGTGAAAATTAAGTTGTTCCTCTGTCTTAAAATGATTTATTATCAGAGGAAAATAAATTCTCATTTTACTTATTTTTCTGGTAAATCCAGTAGAATAAATCCCCGATTTAAGAATACTGTACAATAACATGCTCCTTCCCAGGAAAAACTCCACCTAACAAGTATCCTGATTGCAGCACAGTGGGTACAAAATCTCATTCTTTTCATTCTTATTAATCAAAAAAAAAAAAGTCTGTTAAACTCTTAGGTGCCCAAGGAAAGCTGGGCCAAGATATTTGCATGTTTTTTGCCATTTATGGAGGATTGTGTCATGAGAACAGTGACTCTTTCAAATACTAAGGGTCTTGCTAGATTTTCTTCGATGGATCAAGTCTGGAAAAAACAACAGAAAGAAACTTGGTTTTGAATCCAAAAATATGATCTTACTTAAATATCAAAAGCCATTTGCCAGGGAAAGTGATCTGAAGTTAAACCAGGAGCAGGGGGGAAGAAAGGCAACGGATGATTTTCCATAACATTTGAAAGCTGAAATCAGCCTACAGTGGCAAAACTGGCAGTTCCTGGGTTCATGCTGCAGCCCTAGCTGCACAGCAGCTGTAGGGGGTTCAGATGGCTCATGTTTTGATCATGTTTGTGACCATACATGTGAACATTAAAGCAAGCAGGATTTTTCTCTGAACAAATATTAGATGAATGCATTTCCTTTATGGACCAAATCCTGCTTCTAATGGAAAGGAAGCAGGATCAGGCTGTCAGTGAATACCTGCACAAAACAAAAGCATGCAGACAGAGACAGGAATATTTGTTGGGCACTTTTATTATTCATTTAGTCTCCTAAATAATTTCAAGCAAACTTTTGGGAAATAGAGTAAATGTGATAGTAACACATCAAGAGTAATGAAATTAAAAGCCCAAATGAACATATTGTGAATAACTAGAAACTGTTTGACTAAGCTTTACTTGATCAATGTTTTGAAGTAAAAATGAAGCAAAATTCCCTCACATGATGTGAGGTTCCCATTTGAGAAGAAGAGATCTGAGCCCAGAAAATATAGCTGCATTCATCCAAGAGTTCATTTCAAATGAATAGTTTCACCATCTCTTCCATAAAAGAGAAAAATATTTCAAATGTTTATTTTTAGCTTGGCACATGAATAATAGAAATGAAAGGATCTGAGTATTTAATGTGAAGCAATTCTCTAAAAAAAATCTCAATATATGGGTTAATAATTACATATCAGTAGAGTTTTGGGGTTTTTTTTCTAATACCAGTACCATGTTTTTAAATGACAAGTCTCAGCTGTTGTGAAGTCCAAGGTAGTCGTGTGCCCTGAAACACCCAAGAAATAGTATTATCCAGTATGACACATGCCTAGATATGTCTTATTGTGATCATAATATAGCCTAAAGGTAAGAATACAGAACAATCACTTGTGTGTTATTTTTTCAATGCTGTTTATGTTTGTCTGCATCAAAGAAAAGCTTCTGCTAGAGCTATTTATATCATTGATCAATAGAACTATTAGTGATGGTTTATAAATGCATGAGACAAGTTTTAAATTTAGCATGTACTTTAAAAATGAAATCTATTAGTACATTAACTTGATCGTGTTTCATCACTGAAAAGCCAGTTCATCTTGAAAAATGCTTTCGAAAAAGCAGAATGTACCACCATGACATGAAAGATACTTAAAGTGTCAAACAAAAGCCCTGACTGTGAATCACCAAAGTATGAATTAAAGGACTGATGTTTTCCTGTACTGAGGGTTTACTGGAAGGATGGTGACGGTCCACATTTACTATCATTATGACCTAGAATGTTGAGTATTTCACACCTGCAAAACTACTTCGCAGAATCCTGTCCTGTGTCCTCCATCCACGTTCTCCTGCAGTCAATGGGACTTTGGGACAGGTTTGGACTTGATACTGAAGACTGTTGATGTCTTAAGTTTTATCTTTCATATTTTCCAGATTCTGTACTGCATTAATATATAACTCTGAACTTCATATAAAGTGTTAGCAAGTTCTCTTTGCAGGGTAGTTAGAGAAAACAATCCTTTTCTAGCCCAAGAACCAAGGACACCTTTGCAGCTCCAGGCCTAAAAAACATAAATAATGGCAATAATTATATTTAATGTTATATTAAATTTAATAAATAATTATATTTAATAATAATGGAGAGCAATCTGGAAGGATGGGACTTCATAAACTAAAGCTGTAATTGGACAATTAACACAAATATGTAAATGGACCAAAACTTATAAAAGTGTGAAAACTCATGACCGGTCATCCATCTTGGGTGTAGCCACGGCCAGGCTCTTGCACTGCCCAAGGCGTATTCTGTGAAGGCCTTTGGAATAAATACCTGCTTTATTCCTTTAACTCTGTCTAGCTTCTGTTCTAGGCAGCCTCCCAAGGCATCACTGTCAGCATAGAAAACATTGTTGACAGAGATTCTCAGCACTGAGGTGGTTTTCTATGAACTTGGGGTCCCCTTAATAGGTGAGGTGTATGGAATGATTGGCAACCCTTGTGGTCAGTGAGAATTAAAACTGGTGACACATGGGCCTAGTCTTTTAGAGCTATTTGCTGTAGAGTCACAGTGTAGGACAGTTTCCTTTCTAATGTACTAACTAATTAATTAATTTAATTTCTAATTAAAGCCAGTGGTGATTCAGCAAGATAAGTTTTGCTTTTTTGAGTTCTTGGCTAACAGTGATAAGAAAACCATGGTGAGTAAAAGTATGTAAACACAGTGAGATAGTTAGATGTACATTCTAGACACAGGGCCTATTATTTGGAATTAAGACCAGTCTCTGCCCTTTAACATCATTACCAAGGAGTGTACCCCACTTAATTCACCATAAATAGAAATTCCTAGATCCTTTTATTTTAACATGGAAAACACAGTGATGTCTCGGAGCTTGTTAAGTCTAGATGTTGTCCCTCTGCTTCCTCTTCATTCTCCTGTGGGGACCATTTTCTTCTGTGAGAATGGGATCTTCTCTGCAGTGTTACTGTGGATCATCCTGCTCAGCCTAACAAGACTCAAATGCAAGAATAAGATTTTCAAAATTATGAGCAACAGAGGGAAAAAATAAAATTAGAACGATCATGGAGGATTCAGATTATTAAACAGTAGGTATTAACCACTCTGTTCCCTAACTTACCTTATACCTGAGTTTCATTGCCTTCCATTAGTGAGGTAATTAATTTAGCAGGAGACATGAAAGGAGCTAGAGATGGCAGCAGACATGGGTGAGAAAGAAGTCAAGTATAGGTTTCTAATGGTGGGCAGTGGAAAAGTGTTTTGTAAAAGTTATAAGAGGGTAAAGGACTGAATACAGAGGGGTGTGAGATGTGGTACCTTTTCTACTGCTTCATCCAGGGTTGTGTCCTGGTTATTTATAAAAGGAAGGGCAAAGCCTTGCAAGCCAAGGCAACATGTCTGATCTTCTTGTGTAGCTTTGACCGCTTACAGTGAAGGGTTAATCCAAAACCCTCTAAACTAAAGTGCTTCCTGCTTAGGTGGAAAATACATATATACCTATGGCTTTTTAAGAGAAATGTTGTACCCAAGTATTGTTTTGTGAGCTGGGAGTGCTGCGCTGAACCTCTGGGGCAAATGTTTTGCACTGAGTTGTTGAAAGAGACTGAGATTGGCAACGCCACCCTGCCCTTGGCTAATGAGCCTTCCCCGAGAGAATATCAAGTGCAATTACCTTTCAGGGAATAACAACATACCAAAGAACCATGGACCCTGCAGAGGAAAATGAAACACACATTCGTAGGTAGAACCTGTTATGAATCAGCATTAATTATCCAATAGAGGGAACGGGGTTGCAATAAGTCTCAGTTCCCAACTCACACCATAGATCACAGCAAACGTGAGCTACTTACAGAAAAAACATTTGCAAAGTTCAGCTTGCCCTAGCCCCCCTCCTTTCCATGTACACTCTGCACTTGAGTTGTGCTTGGGGGCTGTGCTTCTGGGACAACATTCCCGACCCACGGTTTGGAGGTGACTGAGTGGCAATAAAAGAGGGCTGGTGGCAGCGAGAGAGGCTCCCGAACGTCAGCAGTACAGCGAGGCTGAGGCAGGGACTCACTCGAGGTTTCACAGGTTCCACACTCCGCTGACTGGCTGAGGACACCAGGCCCCTCTCAGCAGCGCTCAAGGAGTTCGGGCTGCCGGGTGGCCGCCTGCCTTTGGCCGCAGAGCCGGGGAAAGCGTCCCCCCACGGCTGGATGTCCCAGCAAAGACCAAAAAGGGGGAAGAGTCCCGGGAGACGGGCTTTTTGCTGCGCACATTCGTAAGAAGGAGACCGAGGGAGAAGGCGGGACGGCCGCATATTCCGGGTTTAGACAGTGGCAAGACACGCGGCTCTGCCAGAGCTGAAGAGATGCGGGGGGATGCTGGCCGGCGCCCTTGTGCCGGGGCTGCGCGGGGGTGGAGCACAGCCGAGCGGGAGGCCCGGCCGGAGCAGCCGTCCCGCACGGCTCCTCACGGCCCCTCACGGC